TTCTCTTGCTTTTGAGGGCTCCGTGTTTTCACGATTGCGAACATAATTTTTTTTAGCTCAGTCAGTTAAAAATTCCCTGAGATAGCCATTTTTCAGCAGTGTCGCCACCTCTTCGCGTAGATGCCGATAGTCCCCGGTCCAGTGACCATTTGTCCCGTGGTATTTGTACCATAAATTAGGATCCCTCTAGCTAGGATCAGATCTCATTGGCTTTGGGAACCGTCCTTCTTTAATGTTCCTCATAGCCGACACCAACTCTACTACACTGACGTTGAAATTATATTATGAAAGTATGGGGTAGGAAGAATCTCGAGAACCTGACGTTTCCTTGTCTAGTAATGACCTGTTATTCCGGCCGCGATCAGTTATTCTATCAGTAACGAACCTATCCGCTGTCCGAAAACCTCTACCGCATCTTTTGGCCCGTTCATGGAGCAAAAACCGGCTCCTCGAAGACCACCAATCTATGTCGAAATCGTCTTTTGATTTCTCTTTGTTCTTCTCCCGGTCCTGACCCTTAACCGACGCTAGGAAACCGAGCTGATCATTCTCAATCATTATTTTTGATTCGTACTGGTTGTGAACATCCAACCATGTTGTCACTTGGAACTTGAGCAAGCTTTCTTTCAACTTCCGGGAAGCATCAGAACTTTTCGGATTCAAACCCTTGGCGGATGCTTCAGTCGCCCATTCATCCGGAACGGCCGGTAGCAACTTCCTTTCCTTCTAGAACCGGGTTACAAACTCCCGCAGTAACTCAGACTCTTCTTGTGCAATCCTGAATATATTGGCCTTTCGGGCATGTACCTTTATGGCCCCGGCATGGGCCTTAATGAAAGAATTCGCGAGCATCTCGAATGAGTCTATGGAATTCTCGGGCAAAAGCGAATACCACGTCAAGGCTCCCTTCGTGAGACTCTTTCCAAATTTCTTCAGCAAAACTGACTCGATCTCGTGGGGAGCTAAATCGTTCCCCTTCACCGCCATTGTATAGGTGGTGATATGCTCATGAGGATCTGAAGTCACATCATATTTTGGCACGTCTGGCATTTTAAACTGCTTCGGGATCAATTCTGGTGTCACGCTTGGTTTGTACAGCAATTGAATATACTTCTTTGAGTCTGACCCGTTCAGAACTGGTGGTGTGCCCAGAATTTGATCCATGCGGGCGTTTACTTCCCTCTAAAACTGTAAGTTCGTTTTGGAAGGGATCGCTATCGTTGTTGTGACCGGATCCACTCCCCCCAGCCCCATCGAAGCTGACCTCGTCCCTCGGGGTGTTGTTGTCGACCCTGTGCGTTGTTTGATTTGCGGGAGCACCGGGAGGAACTAGACCTCGTCCATTCACGTTATTGGAAGCATCTGATAACGCCTGCTTCAGCTCTGTCATAACCTTATCGTGCCGTGTGAGATGGCCTAAAATGGGCTCTTGTTGCTCCTGCAAAACCCTTACTATTTCGACGACATGCTCTTCTTCAGCATCATGAGGAGTCACCTCTCAAACATGTTGCGGGTACCGCCTACCGTGGACCGGTGTGGCCTCGTTGCTCTCACTGCGGGTATCACTGATTGAATCCTCGTGCTAAGGCTGATATCCTTGGGCCTCAAGGTTGTGTGTGTTGTTAACATCATTATCTGCCATTTTCTATGATTTTTTGCTAAGAACAAATAATCAAACGCGTTAGTAAAAGAGGCAAGGACCAATTAATTACACAACCGTCTAAGCCCACGGTGGGCGCCAAACCGTTTACCCCTAAAACGATACAGTTGAATTTATACGTGGTTTATAGACAAGTGAATTAATTTGATCCTAAAATAATAGATGAAATAGACAAAAATGTAATACTTAACTTTGAGACGGAGATAAAATAGCAGAAATTGTAATTCCACGAGTAGAGCTTCCGGGGACAATAGCGACGATATCAGTAAACAAGAAGAAAAAATTATATTAAGCTTTGAATAGAATGTAGCGTCGATTCAATCTATCTTGATGGGATTTTTCTAGTAGGCAGCGAGAAGACTTGTAGTATCGACAAGAATCGTATGTTTGTCAGAAATTTCGTGTCCTTTATAATGATAAAGAGCTCACTATTTATAGTTGCACATAGGGGCACATAGGGAACAAGGTCCTAGGATCAAGCCCCTCTTTAATGTCAATTATGAGACAGTAAATGCCATTTTTCTTGTAACGGGCCGCGTATTTAATGTTGTAGAATATTTCTCATTAAATGCTACCGGGTGACAGACATTTATTTCATCTTTATGAATATCATTCTGTATAATAACTTACAAGATCGTTCCCTTCGGATTCAACTATCTTATGTATTCGGCTCCACGTGTCACTTTCTCATGCGATCATTTAATATAAACATATTTTACCCTATACATACACATCTACGAATTATGAAAATACAACATTAGGATTATGTGACTATATATATTTGCTAATTTTTATGTCTTGTTTCTTTTTCAATAGAATTGTTTCTAAAAACCATATTGCCTTGAGTGTTAGTTGTTCTTAGCTTGTTCGATGAGTATCATGGAATGGACTAATTTGTCACTGTCTTTGGTGATCTGAAGTAGGTTTCTATTAGCTTGGACCTTGAGAGCTTTAAGAGCGAATAACAATAAAGCTTGTTTGAGACCAATTGATTTTCGGGCTACAAAATCACCTAGTAGATTGCGAGACTGCTTGAGGGAGAACAAAAGATCGGACTATATGTTCCAGTCAATTATTGGCAAGTATATACTTGAAACTAGAGCGAAATCATATATTTTATTTTCGAAATGACTGAACTATCCTGGATAATAATTCAAGCTATTGAATTAACCCTTTAACTTAACGATTTAACTCAAGTCATACAGAGTATCTACTACCACAATATTATGTCACAATAAGGATTTAAGAATTTGGGATGCCTTCTAGCTCGTTTGTGGTGTGAGTCTCATCCGGTCTAAGCATCCTTTGTTGGCGACTCAAAATTTCGACCATAAACAAAATGAATAAATGTTATTTATTGGAAATGATATATAAATGCGATTTTAATTCTTGAAAGTCATTTGATATAGTGTATTACACGGTGGCATAGATGCCCTTATTGGCCTTGATTCTTGAGTTAATTTGATGGAGCTTACAAATACATTGCGTTTCCAATAGTATTTGAGTTTAATAGATTAAAAGGAAACCAAAATTCAACTTTTTTTTTTCATGATAAAATTAAAGAAAAAAAGGGTCAAAGTTGCACTTATGCCAAAGTAGAAAAAATGCAGATCACACTCGAGCGATGCATCCGTGCAGCACATCACTGCACACATTAGAATTTTGGGATCTTTTACGGTAGTAGCCATCCGTTTTCATTGTTTAGTTTATCTAGTCTTATACACAATTTTGATTATACACAATTTTAAACATATTAAACATAAATTATACTCTCGCCGGCTATTTGTAGTTTAAGTAATTGAGTGAGCGACCACTCAGACACAATCTAGAGTCTGGATCTCTACGACTATGGTTGTTAGAAGTCGTATCCCAACTTAAGTATTTCATAATAAATATCTCATAGTATTATTTATTTATTTATTTATTTTTACAATACAAACTGTAACATGATTTTAGGTATTTTTTCATAATTTGATAAGACGGTTGAATCACTATTGCGTAAGATTAGACAAACATACACTATTTTTTTTTATGGGTGAAAATCATTTACATCCCCCAAGTTTAATTTGAAAATCAAACACATACTCTAACTTTGAACAATAATCATTCTCATTCTCAAATTAAAAATAATTTTTTAAAATACCTATTTTACCCTCAACAATATTTATCTCGTTTTTGATATATTTTTGTTTTAATATATGTTACGAACTTACCTATAGAAAATAAATATTATTTTTGAAACAAAGAGAGTATGAAGTAGTAATCAAGCATAACAACATTAATAAGAAAATGAGAAAAATAAAAAATATAATAAATAATTTGCCGGAATCAATAATTTTATTAATAACAATCAAAACTCAAATCTATTTGTAAAATTGAGAATAAAAGAAAAGGATGAACAATATAGGTAAATTTTATAACAAATTCCTAAAAGCTATATATTTATACTTTACATGAATTTTATTTTACATTTTAGAACTTTTTTTTAATTAATAAGAATTAAAACTCAAAAATCTATATACACAATAGAGATTAAGAGAAAAAAGGAACTTAAAATCTAGCAGACACACACAGAGACATACATTATATGCAGACTTAATACACATAATATTAAAATAATAATCATAAAAAGTAGTAATAAATTTTATAATATGATTATTCTATTTATAATGTTCAATGAACTAAAAATATCATATACAATAAAAAAGTTATTACATATATGAAAAATTAAAAATATCAAGGGTAAACTAGACACTGCAGTAGGATAGAAGGATGAAAATGATTATTTTTTAAAATTGGGGAATAAATTTAATTTTTAAAGCAAACTTAAGGGATATAAATAATTTTCACCCCTTTTTTATACATACAAAATTATTTTTTAATTTAACCAAATATAAACTATTATTCTTTTCATGTGCTTTTTCTCAAACTTAATTTGAAAAAACAAATTTCTATCAAAATAAACCATGTTTGGAAACTTGGTCAAGCGGAAGCTCTAAGAGGATTTCTCAGTTTTGACTTTTCTACGACTCTTCTTCTCACAAACACAAGAGAGTACCGTATTCGAATAAAAAGAAAACCAAAAGAAAAAAAGAATAGTCTCCCTTGCGCAGAACAGAAGTGGTATTTAGGACATCATAAAACACTCGCGTCACCACTCCTCGGACGCCTTCAAAATCAACCCAAGAAGAATAAACAGATATCCATATACATATTCTAAATTCCTCAAATTTTCAAAACCCTAAAATAATCACAGTCAATTCTCATAAAATGGTACCCCTAAAGTAGGAAGTGGGTTACGGGATCGCCGGAATTTAATTGAAGAAGTTTTTTTAGGGAGATGGCGGAATTAGGGCAGCAGACGGTGGATTTCTCGGCGCTGGTAAGCCGAACGGCTGAGGAGTCGTACGCGACGTTAAATGAGCTGGTGGAGAAGTGCAAGTCCTCTGACCTCTCCGACTCCGAGAAGAAAATTGGGATTCTAAAATACATAGTCAAGACTCAGCAGCGTATGCTCCGTCTCAATGTCCTCTCCAAGTGGTGCCAGCAGGTTGCTTCCTTTTCTATTCTTCCCTCTCTCATTCTGTCTTTTGATGCATTTAAGAGTAGCACTTACTATCTCTTTGTTTAAAATAATGGCGGTGTTTGCCCAATTTGTGCCTTTTGTTTATGTATTGGAAGAGTAGTGGTCGAGAAATAGAACGGGGAAAAAGAGGAATTACACTCTCTCTGTTGATGCGTTGAAAGAGTTTTGACCGAATGAATAGGGTTATGTGTTTGTTTTTTTGGGTGAAATTTGAGAATTGGAATGGAGAAAAATGGATCTTGATGAAGTTTAGAAAGGTAGCCGTGGAATGAATTGGTGAATTTGCATGGGAACAGATGAATCTTGAAAAAGATTCTGGAACTTGCAATTATTGAAGCTGTTGGTGCATTCAAAGAATAGTGGTAGAATTGATTTGTTTTTCCTTTTAATTTTTTTGTTTTTTGTTTATATGTTGTTTTCTTCTTATGGAATTTGGTGATTGGAATGGGAAAAGATAGATCTTGAGGAGTGATTTAAAACTTGAAATCGAGACAGTTAGGGTGGAAATTATAGTTATAGTGAATGCCGAGGACACTACCAAAAAAAAAAAAAAAATG